CAGTAAATATTTAGCATTAAAAACTTTGATACCCTCAGAGAAATAAAGCATAAAATTTTTTACTGCAATTTTACCAAAATTGAAAATATTTCAAAAACGGTAAGGTTTAAGTGTAATAAACCTTAGTCAAATTTACCTTTATTTTAATCGTAGAAACTAAAAATGTAATAATATACAAGGTGTTCGATTTAAAAAAATACATCTTTGATATTTTTTATTTATTTGGGACACTCTGTATCTTGTAAAAATATTTTTAAATTGTAGCTCTAATACTCCTTCAACGAACCCAAAACTTACAATTTGTAAAAACCTAATCGTTTAGCTACAATACTCTGTGTCGTATGTGGTGAACAACCCTGTATAACTTGATTATTTTTTATGAATCTTATGTAAAAGGAATTAATGTAAAATTTCATACCTATTCATTATCAATTTAACAAAACAAACTCTAATACAAAATATTTAATCATGTAAATAATCAGAGCCCAGAGCATCACATCAAAAATATATAAAAATGTCTTGAAAAGACGGCTGGAGTTGATTCCTAGGAATCGGCTAGTAAAGATTTAAAAATAGCTCAAGGTCGCCAAATCGGTCTTTTTGCATTGCATCTGCGAGCGTTAGAAGCGGCAACATTGTCGGAGGCAAATACGAGCGAAGCCCTTATAATCTTATACAAGTAGGTGGCTAGTTAGACACTTTATATTCGGAGACGTATTGCATTTAAAAGTTTAGCGAAAAACTGTATAGGTATACCGACGCCCCGCTTAAAGTCGTAAAACCTTGTGCAGGTAAAGGCAGCAGCCGTCGACGAGATACCGTGTGTTTTGTAACATTGAAGTCCCATTGAGGAGCCTCCGCTAGCGGCCCAAAGCGGCGCCTCGTCGCCCGTAGGCCGCCTCGTGTGTCCTCACCCTAATGTTTTTCGACTCTTCTCCTAGCCGGTTAAAAGATGCCCAAATCGTATTTTTAATAATATCACAATTTTTTTTCAAATGGAACAAGGGTGGTTCATTGGCATATTTGGAAAAAGCATTTTTTACGAATAATTTGGTATTTCGAGTCAAATTGTCGATATGAACCGCATGTTACAATTTCAAATAAACCATATACGAAAATGTCAAAAGTTGACATATGATATGTCATTCTATTCAGGTGATTTTCTATTGAATAAAGTAGAAATATACCGAGAGTGCAATTAAAAAATAAAAAGTTAACAATTAAATACGTCAATCAATCCTAATATACAGCTTGTTAATTGGACGGTAACTCATTGGAGAACAGATTGGCAACACTGCCTACATTCCAAATGAGTACTAAGCTAAGCTGCCGACTCGTCGCGTCGCGTCGTCTCTCGACGAGCGGGCCGAGGTTGCCATATTTCAACCATAAAGCTCTTGCCGCGAGTAATAAACAAATTAACAACCTGTATGTCATATACTAACATACCAAATCTCGTTTTCTTATAAAAAAAGAAAGAAAAAATAAAAAAGTTAAAGAGGTGAGCCACTTTTGAGACGCACCCAGTATACCAGGTGGCACATCGTAGTTCGAAACATAGGAAATTCCATGCAAATTTTGAACTGTCCAAATATTGCTCCCATATTAATTTTACAGCTGCATCGTAAATAGATTTTTTAGAGATCTGCGTATGCTGAATATACATTCCAAATTTGAACAATTTTGGACAAGCCGATATTAAGTAATTTAAGAAAAACTACATCTATTTCTAAATTAAAACTGAACAGGTAACAATGGGAAACCAGGCAAATGCCAATGTACCTTAAGTTGTCTTCCTATAATTTTGTCAACGTCAAATTGTATTTTCTATACTTAGGCCAACTTAGGCTTTTGCCTCATTCGAACCAGTTTTACAAAAATGCATTTCAGGGACACTAACCGTAGGTATCGTAACGACAAGATAACAAATTATATTTGACAATAATAAAATCATAAACAAAGGATAAAATCATACGTTGACATTTGACTGGTTTTAATTTTGACCATAGATAAAGAAAATAATCTACTATTAAGATAGATCGGTGCCTTCTATTAAAAGATCAGCCTGCGGGCGAGATTTATGACGTCACGCTAGTTAGATATAACGGATTAATAAATATGTTGTAGAATACATGGAAAACATAATTATTCCTCAGATTTTTGGTTGGTATTTTAAAAATGATATAGTTTAAATGAAATATACATAATATACAGTTAATAACTACAACATATATACCTATTTATAGTAATAAATACTTTGGCAAATAAACTATGAACCATACAAATGCAGCAAATGTTTTACAATGTACAAATAATGTATAGGTACATAAGATAATGGGTAAAATGTAAATATATTTTAAATTTTGGGGTTTGAAAATCGATCTAATTTAACAAAAACATTTAATATCTACTAATAGTGATGTATTATTATTTGCATTCAAAATTTATATGTATATTTTGCAAGTATCAATGTTCGAAAATTATATTTACAAATAATACAATATTATCTAAAAAGGCGTCAGCGATGGCTATGAAATGAAGATCGCTGGCATTTTATATGTTAAATTATTCTAAAATTTTGATTTTCTTGGGATTTTAGGTTCGGGAAAAACGCTGATTAAGTTTTCATTTGTTTTCATTATTTTTTATTTGGTTTAAAAAAACGTTTCGGCTAACTATAGCCTTCAGTGTTGTGTCATATGAGAAAAATAGTGTCGAATATAATCCAAAAATTACATATACAATATAATTCACACCTCATAATGTTTACTGCAATTAATAAACTAATATAAACTTATCAAAAGATGACCACATATTTTTTAAAATTATTATTCTTAACACTAAAATTATCTACATTGACTATGGAGTACGCAGTAAACATTATGTGCGTGAATAATATTTTATATGCAATTTTTGGATTATATTCGACACTATTTTTTCATATGACACAACACTGATGGAGGCTATAATGTTAGCCGAACCGTTTTTTTTTTTAAACCAAATAAAAATAATGAAAACCAAATGAAAAATCAATCAGCGTTTTTCCCGAACCTAAATTCCAAGAAAATCAAAAAATTTAGAATATTTAGAATCAAGGTTCAAGAATATCAGATTTTCCAAGATTGTAAAATTCTAGTTAATTATTTTATGTGTCAGTTATTTAGGGAATGTCATCAATGTTCATTTCCAAGCCAACTAGACGCCGATTTTTTTCGATGATACGGTATAATTCTTACGTAAAATGTAAATAACATTAGACCAATTAAAACAAAGAAATATGAATTTCTTAGTATTTTTAGTAACACCTTTATACTTAAAACTTAATTTTGTATTATGCAAATATACCAATTTTATTGTTATTTTATTCACATTGTATTCAGCCATCACTTAAAATATTTGATATTTATTTGGTATTATAAATAATCAACACTATTCATTAAAAATTACTGAACAAATATATGTTATGCTTGACATACATTATATATTATCAAACAAAAACACATTCTTCTTTTAAACTGTATCAGTCTTGTCTTTAGAAAAATCTTTTTTAAAATTTGAACTCAAAATAATAATCTTTTTCATGATCTTTAATACACATATTCTTTATTTTTCCCTAGATCATAATACCTACTGACATGTTTATCTTACGTGTTTGAATCTATCAAAGCTGCACCAACAACACTTGGAATGGAGATTCCACAATATGAATAAAATAAACATAATTGTCCAGTTTTCATTAATACTATCATGGGAGAATATTATTTTTAAATTTATTAAAGATATTTTCAATAGAATTCTCTTGATTTATAACTCGTACCCATTTTTCTTGCTCTTCCGGACACTTTAGGCTGCCTAGTATAACTATCCTTTCCACCAGGAACACAACAAAGATGAGGCATAGCACAAAAACACACTCCACTTAAGCTTTATTGATGAATTGTTAGAGTCTTAAAAAACACACACAAAAATCACGATGAGTAAAAAATGTATGGGCACTTTTAGGTTAAATCACTTACACAACGTGTAATTTTTCAATTTTTCTATTTTTTTTATGCGAAACCGAGAGTGACCATATATCTGGTAGTAGTTTATGTCGCTTCAACACCAAAATAATTAGTTTTTTGCAGTACAATAATAAATAATACCAAAAATCAAAGAGTTAAAACCAAAAATCAACCGATAAAATATGAAACGGAATCTAACCCAATATCTAAGTATGTACAGCTGATGAAGTAAACAAAAGTCCGCCCGTTGGCTGATCTTTTAATAGAAGGCACTGGATAGATATGAAACTTAACAGTAGTGGAGACTACGTTTAACCCTTGTCTATATATAATATAGTCTGACAATGAGGGGTATTGTGAGCTGCTGCCACCATGCGGCCTTTTTTTGAACCTTAAACATGAATGAAAATCGCCAAGAATTTTACCCCTCAATTAAAATGGTGGGAGATGGGCGGATCTAGGTTTAATAGTATATTTCAGTATATTTTTAACTTTCTTTTCTGAATCCGAGTTCCGAGTTTTTAACCTTGATTTAACCTTGGTCGGGCACAAATTTTATTTCCATGCAAAAAAATATATAAAGAAGCAATTTTTGACAGAGAAAATTTTATTTTAATATTATTATATCTTTAAATAAAATTTTGAGCTAACTTCCAAACAGATGCACAAGAAAGAATGTTTTCAATAAAATGAAATTAAATTGTACAGAATTTTTTTTTTCAATATTGAAGATTATTTTATATCTATTAATCCCTGTATATGAATACAAGACAAGGATACAAGGTATTAATTGAATTAGATCTGTATTAGAAATATAAAATATAAGAATTATTTAATTATACGCATTGAAAATAGTTTTAGTTTTCCTGAAGAATTTTTCTACATATTTTAACAAGTGTAATCAATGGAAAAAAATATGTTTTCTTAATTTTGAATGGTATTTTTATTGTAAATATGAACAAAAGACCATATTTATCTATATAAACAAAAGAAAACAATGTAGTAGTTTAGGCTTTCGCGGCCATCGTTTGAAGAATTTTGGTTTTTCGGGTTATTAGGCCGTCGTCGGTTAGAATTATTTAAATTATTATTTAATTTTATTTTTTTTCCTAACCAATTGTGTATATCAAGCATACCTTATATCTTTGTAGAACAAAAACCCGCTTCTTTAACTTATCATAATAAAAAATAAGGCTTCCTTTGTTCCAACACAAACCAAGTTTCTAGTTAATCATTAATTTATCACTAGAAAACAATTACATATCACATTTTTTGCACTGATAACCACTGTCAAATCACTATTTAATGTTAGCTGTCAGTCTCTTAAGACTTCGGCTGCAAATCCACTAATGGATGTGCATGAGCACATTAGTCCACTTTTTTATTTAATATTGCATGGAGTAGATCTTCCATTGTCTTGAGTCCCATCCACTCTCTGATGTTACCAAGCCATGACATCCTCTCTATCCCTTAATCTTTCCTTCGATGATCAACTGAAGGAATTGGTATCTATTGTTACGTATCACGTAACCCCATCCTCTTTTAATACACTTGTATGCATAATACTAGCAACTTTTTAGGAACATCCGGGTTTGTGGTCCTAATTTTTGGGGCATCTAGTGGATTCAATCAGCATGTCCAGCTTGAAATCATTCATAGTTGACTGGTTGGTATATTTTCTAGCTTGCTGCTTCTAGCAATATATTTTGATATTGTATGCACTAATTTAACTGTTAGGTCACTAATTCTATGACAATGGCAATCGTGTTAACCTTAAAACAGAACATAATTGATATTAAAAAACGATAAATACGATCAAAAACATACATAGATTTATATCGAAGAAATGTTATAATTTTTGCTACAGTAGATTACAGTACTTACCAGTCCTATTATTTTCGGTAGTTCCACAATAGTTCTGAACGCAATATATGCCTGGAAAATCAATATTGGCCTAGGAATTTCTGAATTTCCCTTTTATTTTCAGATTTTGATTGTTTGTTTTGAAGTATCGCGTGAGGTTAGGTTTCATCTTTCATCAACAACAGTTTGCGCGCGCTCCTTTTTCGTTCAAAATTTGTTCGATTGTTTATCGTCTCTATTTTCTTAATTATGCAGTCGAATTATTCTTTTTGGTAATAAATGGAATGTTGGGAATTTTGTTATTACTCTGATTTAAATATTCAGCCCAGAATTTTTTTTAGATACTCATTGTTTTTAAGAAAGACTCTAACATGACCCCAACTAACGGAAAGTAAAATCATTCCTAATAAGGAAACTCTAGTAATCGACCAATTAGAGAGTGAGAAATCCCACTTTTCCTAAAAATTCGAGATTGTAGCGTAGGGGAATACGAAAACTTCTCAGGAGCCCTCGCCACCTGGTGAACAGAGCCCCAAAGCATCCGATCATTGTCTATCTATATCATCTATAATCAAGGGTTTAACCCATGGTACAAAGAATACAAGGTATGATATTGCGCAGGTTGGTTGCTACGTCACAGGTGATAACAGGCGCTATTGGTCAGCACGCCTCGCGCGCCAGTTCAAATCGTCAAGATATTGTTATAAACCTGTTTTTTTGTTTATATACCGTCATTGAATTATCGCTAAGCAAGTTACTGTGGAGCAGGGCATAAGGAGTCGGGCTAGAAAGCGAGAGACCGGAGTTCGAATCTCGGCCGGGACATAACTTTTTATTTATTTTTTTAAATACTGTTGTATTCTATAGTTTATTTTGTAGTATAAAGAACTATTTATTCTGTGATTTTTAATCTCCGGTATTAATATAAATTGATTGTTGGTACAATACCTCATTTAATATAAAATAATATTCTACTTTTTGAAATGTATCGGGCCCTAATTGTACCTAAAAGTAAAATATATTTTTAGTGATATACCATATTGTAAACTATTTAGTATTTCAGTCACTTAAAAAGTTAATTTGCATTGAATAATTGCCTACCATTAAAGGAAATTTGAGCTATATAATCCTTGATGCGCATCTTCCTCTAAATTTTGGGTTTCATTCAACCGATTTATTCTCATAACCTGAAACATCTACATATAAAAACAAGCACAGGTCACTAATTATAATAAACTTCACCCTTGGAATTACTTCCACTAATTATAATAAACTTCACCCTTGAATTACTTCTATCACTATTACAATACATTCATCTGCATTGGTGCATTTTCTACTGTTCGATGGGAAACAATAAACTTTCCAACATTTTTTTAAATGATGTAACAATTCCTCTTGTGGTTACTTTTCCCATAGATATCCTCATATCTGTCCTCATGTGAATTCAGAGGCAATGAACATGAAATTATTTAATACCATAAACATCGCAAACTAAAACCTAATAAACAATTTTATACCGAATATAGAAATAAATTTAAATATTCTTACCTATTATCGTCCAAATCCATGTTAATAGATAATTATTATTTTTAAATATATTTTTGGAACTGCTGGTTTTAGTAATTATTAAATTAAACGAACTAAAAAGTCTTAAAAATAAACAATTCTTAACATGATTCTTAACCATAACCCCAAAAAATACAGATCTCCTGTCAACTTTCTTTATTTTTTATTTATTCAATGCCGTCTCTAATAGAACAGCCTTGGGGCGAGATTTATGACGTCACGCTAGTTAGATACTACGGATTAATAAATATGTTGTAGAATACATGGAAAACATAATTATTCCTCAGATTTTTGGTTTGTATTTTAAAAATTATATAGTTCACATGAAATATACATAATATACAGTTAATAACTACAACATATATACCTATTTATAGTAATAAATACTTTGGCAAATAAACTATGAACCATACAAATGCAGCAGATGTTTTACAATATACAAATAATGTATTACATAAGATATTGGGTAAAATGTAAATATATTTTAAATTTTGGGGTTTGAAAATCGATCTAATTTAACAAAAAACATTCAATATCTACTAATAGTGATGTATTATTATTTGCATTCACAAAATTTATATGTATATTTTGCAAGTATCAATGTTCGAAAAATTATATTTACAAATGGTAAAGGTGTGGATCCGGTGGCTGACCTTGAAGCCCATATTTGCTGCATTTGATCATCGATACGACGCAAGCGCACATCGTCGATGTTGCCAAATTGCAGTTTATTTTCGAATTATTTGCAGTTGAATTTTTTTTGAGTATTAATCAATAATAATACAAATTCTATAATTAATTTTATAATTTCACATTTATCTTGATATCCAAAATTAAGGTAAGAAGGATAATGAAAGACATATGTAATTTTTGGATTATATTCGACACTATTTTTTCATATGACACAACACTGATGAAGGCTATAATGTTAGCCGAAACGTTTTTAAAACCAAATAAAATAATGAAAAACCAAATGAAAACTTAATCAGCGTTTTTCCCGAACCTAAATCCCAAGAAAATCAAAAAAATTAGAATATTTAGAAACAAGGTTCAAGAATATCAAATTTTCCAAGATTGTAAAATTCTATTTAATTTATGTGTACAATTATTTAGAAATATCAAATTTTCCAAGATTGTAAAATTCTATTTAATTCTTTTATGTGTACAATTATTTAGGAATGCTTCAATATGATGTTCATTTCCAAGACCAACTAGACGCCGATTTTTTTCGATGATATGGTATAATTCTTAAATAAAATGTAAATAAAATTCGACCAATTAAAACAAAAGAAATATATGAACTTCTTAGTATTTTTAGTAACACCTTTATTCTTAAACTAACTTAATTTTGTATTGCAAATATACCAATTTTATTGTTATTTTATTCATATTGTATTCAGCCATCACTTAAATATTTGATATTAATTTGGTATTATAAATAATCGACTACTATCAGTAAAAATTACTGAACAAATATATGTTATGCTTTACATACATTATATTATCAAACAAAAACACATTCTTCTTTTTAAACTTTATCATTCTTGTCTTTACAAAAATCTTTTTTAATTTTGAATTCAAAATAATAATCTTTTATGATCTTTAATACACATATTCTTTATTTTTCCTAGATCATAATACCTACTTACGTGTTTATGTTATGTGTTTGAATCTATCGAAGCTGAACCAACAACACTTGGGTGGAGATTCCACAATATGAATAAAATAAACATAATTGTCCAGATTTTCTTTAATACCATCCTGGGAGAATATTATTTTTTAAATTTATTAAAGATATTTTCAATAGAATTGTCTTGATTTATAACTCGTACCCACTTTTCTTGCTCTTCCGGATACTTTAAGCTGCCTAGTATAACTATCCTTTCCACCAACAAAGATGAGGCATAGCACCAAAAACACACTCCACTTAAGCTTTATTGATGAATTGTTGAGTCTTAAAAAGCACACACAAAATCACGATAAATAAAAAATTTATGGGCACTTTTAGGTTAAAGCACTTAACAAAACGTAATATTTCGTGTTTTTATGCCAGAAACAGATTGACCATCATAGTAGCCATATACCTGGTAGTACTTTATGTCACTTAAACACCAAAATAATTAGTTTTTTGCACTACAATAACAAATAATACCAAAAATCTACCGACAAAATATGAATACAGAATCTAACCCAATATCTAAGTATGTACAGCTGATGAAGTAAACAAAAGTCCGCCCGTGGGCTGATCTTTTATAGAGGGCATTGATTTATTCATTGTTTTCCTAGTGACGTCACAGGTGGTATGCGCAAACTGAACGAAATTGGAGCCGCTATCGATCATACCTTGTATTCTTTGTACCATGGTTTAACCCAGCGCCTTCGCCTTTTCTGCTGTAAATGTTTTTTATGTTTATATTTGAATTCAAAGGATTTATTTTTAAAGTTACACTGATATATTAGTATATCAGAGTAACTTCAATAAAACATAAGAATATATATATTTTACAATTTATTTTACATAGTTTCATGTAAATGATCGTAAGTCGACTGACTGTCCGTCGGAATGAATAGACCGAGATTTATAGATTTTAAAGCGAACGAAAAAAATCAAACAACGAATACATACTATCCTTATACTATATATTTTTCTTTTATCTAAGAAACATACCTTATCGTATTTTGGAAACACGTACATTTTTGCAGTTTTGTTAGTTTCTTTGCAAGATGCAACACAACAAGAAAACACCATTTTTACAGTTAATAAATAATAAAACTATTTCTGACTATGATATTTAAAATTTAGATAGATAGAAAATTAAAAAACAAACGAGTATTTGCAAACGCAGGCCCAAATTCAATAAAAATCAAAATTTTTCCTGCGAAAATCAGGCTTTTTTCACTGAAAAGGTATTTTTTGATTTATCAGCAGTCATTGTCAAGTTGACAATATACAGGGTGTTTTCGAATTGGTCTAAAAAAGTTATGGTGTGATTCCTCATGTGTTCTTAAAACAATTTTTATATAACCATTGGGTCTAAAGTACTTCCTTTCTGATCTACAGGGTGTTAAAAATTTAAAAAAATCGATTTTTTTGCTTAACATAAATGGTACACCACTTCTTTTTTAAAGAAAATGTATTTTTTTCTTTACTGGCCATCCTTTTTCAACAAAATTGATCTTTTGAGTTTTTCTTGTTCATCAAACGGTTGTCGAGAAAAAAATAAATATACTTATTATGCTTGTGCAGCCACATTTAGCATATGGCATAATAGTTTGGGGTGGTGTACTTGATGTTCATCTTAAAGTATTAGAGAATATTCAAAAATGGATACTAAAAGTTATATATAACAAAAACCGATTATATCCAACTGATTTATTGTTTGAAGAATCCAAAATTTTTGACATAAGACAACTATACGTGCAAAGTATAGCCCTAAGGCAATACAAGAAAAAAGACACCCCAAATATCACAGGCAACCAAATAAACTAGTAACCTCTAAAAATTATTTTTCCTACCACTAGCGACATACCGTGTTTTTAGTGTGTACTAAATTATTTTATCAAAATTTCACCATATAAGTTTCCAGGCAATGATTTTGACTGTCAATAAATTTTGCATGTGTATTCAGCATAGGCAGACCTTCAAAAAAACTATTTACGACTTGGCTGTAAAACTAATAGGGAAGCTGAATATCTGGATAGTTCAAAATTTGCATGGGATTTCCTATGTTTCGAACGACGATGCACTACCCGGTATATGAAGGGTCAGGGGAAAAAGCAGGTAAGTCAATTCGTCTCCAAATTGAGAAAAAACACGATTTATGTTCAAAAAGGATATTGGCAGCAGGTCTGGAAATCGTAATAGAGATTTGTCAGGTAAGGTATTTTTAAAGGTATTTGTTATTAGCCTAGTTATTAGATAAACTACTATGGTAATATGGGGAGTGCATATACCCCGTGGGGAGTGTGGGGAAGAATACACCCTCGGCATGTTCTGCCTGTCG